TCTAACTATGGATTTTGAGGAGCAAGACACCTGAGAACCTCCTTTTTAATTACCCACCTTCATTAGACTTGAGGATTTTCTTTCTTGCAAGGAAATCAAGAATAAATGTTACCGATATACACTGTAAGAACTATTTCTTCTGAGAACTTTGGGTAGCAGCGTCTGTTTGATTAGCTGAATTTGCCATGAATGTGGAAATGATGACATCAAAACAGCTCATGTAACAACCTCCTCAAAGACCTTGTAGATTAGAGATGACTATAGATTTTCCCCAGCACGGATCAAAGGGACTGAATTGAACGTTTTAGCTTAATGATCCAACCCCTGTCACACCCATAGGGACTCGAATTCCGATTGTATAAGCAGGTGTGCCCATGGACTCAGACGCACACAGAAAGCTGCTGGAGAGGGAGGAAAAAGATCAACCACCTGATCGACGAGGATAGGTTTGATCTTTTCCATTACTTGACTGTGCCCGTGTGTACTACTGGTGGGGCCTCACGATTTCTCATAAACTTTGAAATATTAGCTGTTAGTTTTTGTTTCCTCATCACAACTGTTCAAAGCCATCCTAGCCACCCACCAGCGGCAAGAGAAACCCTGGCAACAGGCCTGGCTAGGCCCTGTCCAGGGTCCTGACTCCGCACCAGGGCTCCAGGCCGCTAGGCCTCCCAGAGCCCTTCACCCAGCCCACCAGACAACAAACAAAGACCTTCAAGCTCAAAGCCTCAGGGCAGCCTTCTAACTCCCATCAGTTAGCTGGAAGGGGAAACAACAAAGGGAACGCTAATCCACCCTCCCTTCACTATACCCCGAGCCCCAACCTCCCATTTCAGACTGCCAGGGTCACCTTCTCTACTGTGACCCTGATAGTCTCAAACAAAAACATGCCAGCAAAAGTATAATTTGGATATAATTTCCAAACATGCATCTTGAGAGGTTAGAGTTGGGGTATAATTTGGGGGGATGGCAATTTTGTCTCATCAGTGGGGTAATACCCAGGAATTGTTTAGGAGCAAGACAGATCCACTAGGTATCCTTTTCTCCCTCCACTACACTCTCTACCTGTCAAAATAGTTTTCATTTTGAAAATCACTAAGACATCAATGTTCTAAAAACAAAGCCTCTCCTCTCCGCAGCGGGTTGAACCACAGAGGCTTTCTGGGTGCCTGGCCTCGCGGCCCGCAGGGGGCATGCGTAGCTACCGGGGAAGATGAGTTCACAAGGAGGGCATCAGTGAGGGCACAAGCTTAGCTTCCTGTGGTGCGCTGAGCGCTTGAAGATAAAGAAAGATGCAGCCTGGGCTTTGAGTTGCTTTGCTGCTACAACACAACGGTGCTATTGTTGGCACAGACCGTCCCAAGTGCCAGCTGCAAAACAGCGACGGCAGGACTGGGTCTCTACTGACCCCAATCGCCCACTGGGTGCTTCCAAAGGGCCTGGGGCTGCACCCGCTGGCGGGAGAGCCAGCCACCCTCGGGAGAGGTCGCAGGGTTTATTGTCTCAGGCAGCCGTGCTCGATGCTCTGACACCAGGTCACCACAAAATAACCATCAGGCCTCCTCAAGCCACAGCAGCAGGTCTCCTCCACTCTAGTCAAACTCTCCGCTCCAACCTTCACCACGTGCACACTTCTTAACTCCATGCGCCCCTTCCTCTCCTCCCTGGGGTTTGTGCTCCCCAGTGGGGGCCGCAAGAGAGAACTATTGTTCCACACCCTCCAGGGGTCAGACATGGGCTGTGAGAAAGGCCCACGCAGAGCCTTCTGGGGATTGTCCCCAACAGCCAGACCTGTTCGGCTGGCGTGTGTGTGTATGTGTGGGCGGGGGTTCCTAGCCAACTCTCCGGGAGCACGGGCGACCCTTAGGCCTGAGTTGGTGAGGACTCTGGAACTCCTCGGCCTCCGCCTGACGACTGGCTGGCCCCCAGGCCACGCTGGGAGTAGTCTAGCATAAAGCTTCGGAGGTGGCTCTCGTCCGGGGCAGCCAGCCCCCATCGCCCCCAGGCTGCTAGGCGGACGCTGTCGGCAGCGCCCTGCGGGCCCTTTGTTCGGGCCGCCGCAGCCGGCTGAGAGCAGCTGCACTGCCCGAGAACCGCCCCGCAGAGACGCCGGGCGTGGCGGGGAACCAGTCCACTTGGCACCTTCTCCTCCGACTCTTGGGCCCAGGAACCCTTCCAGTTCCTGCATTCCACACGCCCAGTTGTGGCTTTTCTCCCGGCCCAGAGTCTTCGAGGACTGGAGAAGTGGAGTTCCCAGGGCCCAGCATCGAACTCCTTCTGCTTTGCTCCCATGGCCCAGAGAAGTGAGGGGACAGTTGAAACGTCGCCCGTTGGTATAAATATTAACAAAAAGCAAATGGACTTGCGCGGGAGCCAGTTAGTTATCAATCAACCAGGCAGCAAGGCCACTTATGGCAAACATGGCCCATGTTGGTCCGGGCGAGACTTTCTCATGGCCACCTCCTGGTCAGACTGCCCCCGCCCCACGCCCCCCGGTCCCCGGGTGGTCCTGGGGCAAATCCCGTCCAGGAAACAGGAGCAGTCCCGGGTGCTGGAGACCCGTCTGGCTCCCTGGCGCCGCTGTTGGGAGGTTTCTTCGCCTCCAGGTACCGCAGGGTCGAAGCGGCGCAGCACCCACCCCTGCCCGACCCCGGGCCTCGCCTGCTGAGTCTCTGCAGCACCCGTTGGTGGGTGTGCAGTGGCAGCTTCTTCCTGCGCCGGCAGCTCCCCTACTGAGGCCGGAGCCTTCTGGAATCTTTAATTGGAAGCTTAATCTCCCCGCGTCTTAATAGGCGCCCACGTCAGAGGCGGGGCACCCACCCACCGGCACAGCCCAGCCCCCCCTCCCCACCTGGGATGAGACGCAGCGTGAGCCTGGTTGCGCTGCACTTTAATGGGGAAGCAGCAAGTGTTACATTGAGGGAACATATATTGATTTTTTAAAGGTAGTTAATTTGGTGAGAATTTCCTCCTGTCTCCCAGCCGATGTAATTTCGTGAAGAGAAAGCGCCTCTCCAAACACGCTGCCGCGGGCGGGCGGAGGGTTTTGACCCTCCACACCAGGCTGTATGGAACCTGGGGTACCAGGAGGGCATGAAGAAGCCACTCTCCCGCTACCCAGCGAAGGAGCCGACCTCGATGGGCCTTGCCTCGCATGGGGTAGAAACGAGTTTAAGGGGTCTTTGAGTGCAACGGCGAGCAAGAGCTGCAAGTGGCACCTCCCTCCGTGCACGGGAGCTGGCAGTGGGGAGCAGGGGGCAATGTCTCACAGCTGCGTGCAACATGCCCTGCAATCCGTTTTTAGTCACCTGCAGTCAGGGCCTACCAGAGATCATTGAACGGTTCAGGAAACGGCCTCGTTCCGCCCGCCCCCGCCCCCACCACCAAATTAAAATGTTAACGGGAGGTCTTGTCGTTCTTCGGTGACTTAAAAACAAGCCTTGGCTCTTGCTGCGTAATGGGATTGATCCCGGCTGGCTCCGCACGCGCGCTCATCCCAGCCCGCCCCACCCCTTTAATGAAGTTAAAGAAAGGAAAATGGGAGAGACAACCCCGCATCCGGGTCTTAGGATAAAGAGTTCGCTGCGGGTTTGGCGCCAAACTCACGTCCCGCCAGAGTCTCCGATTTTCCTTTTTTTTTTTTTTTTTCCTCGAGGAAAAGGCCACGCGCCTCTGTCCAAAGGCTGGGCAGGACTTTCTACGCGCTGCTGGGTGCCAGGCAGCGGCCCCTTCGATAACCTCCTGGGTCCCGTGAGCCCGGGCGGGTACGCCCACCGCACGTCCCGTGTGCAGGTAGCAGTACTAGGGCTGCCCATGCGAGGAGGTGAGAGGGCGCTCGTACAGGGCAGGGCGCTAAGGCGGGTATCCAGGGCTCCGGGGTCGTCCCTGAACCTAATTTATCAGTCTGTCTTTCCAGGGGACAATAGGAGGCAGTGGGGAAGGAGAGTCATTTAAGTCCTGAGCAAGCGCCTTCAGGAGGTGGGGGGTTTGGACCGAGCTTCCCTGGGGGTGGGGGGGGGAACGGCTCTCCATTTGCATCCCCTCCCTCCATTCCCCCAGCCCCATTAACCTGCCTGTGTGTGCACTGCCTCGGTAAAAAGTCCTGAAGCCGGGCTCGAGGCTGGCGTGTGCGTGTGAAAAGGCACTACCTTGGACGCCGGCATAGGCATATCAGTCTGGGAGAGGAATAGCGTTTTCGGCCGTCCCTTCCAGAACTTCAGCTGCCCTCGGGTCTCGGTCTACCCATGGGATGGGGGCGATCTGGTGGCTGCACACAAAGCTAGAGAGTGGAATTGCGGGAGCCCCAGAGGGTACCCTGTCAACCTCTTTCTTCCCCCTCCCGTCCCCTTACCCCAGCCTCTCCTGGCTTCTGGGCTCAGGCTGCAAGAGTCCTCGTGGGGACTTTGGAGCCAACGAGCGCGGGGTTGGTCTGGAAAACCTGGCGGGGCAGAGGCTCAGACGGTGCGGAGCTCCAGCAGGGAGGCCACAAGAACCCAGACCCCAGGACTGCTTTGGGTCGCATCCGGCTGGAGTCGCAGGCTCGCGGGGACGCCGGCACCCGCTTCCCTCTAGCTTCTCATTGGCCCGCACGATGTGGCGGAGGGGGCCCTGGCCTCTTGCTTTGATTTTAGACTGTGAAACGGCTCAGTGCCCACGGCTCTGCGCGGACTGACGCTCTCTCGTTCTCCAGGGACGAATTAATGGAGAACGATCAGTTAATTAACAAACCCTCATTCCGGCTTTTACCTTTTTCTTCGCCAAGACTCAGGCTAGGTCGCCGGGCTGAGATTGGGTGGGGGTGTGGCAGCATGTACCCCAGGAGTCAATCAACTCAGCCCGGGTCTCATCAAACCGAGTCCACCCTCAGCTGCCCTTGGCTGTACCTCTCCGCTTGTCCTTCGCCCTAGGGAGTCGCTGAATCTGATTGAAATCCCCCGTGTGATTCAGGCTGGGGTCAGTTGTCCCCTCCGCCGGTGGGCCGGCCAGAGCCTTCCCCTTACCTTGGCTTAGAGAGGCTGGGGGAACTGGGCGCAGTGTCTACGCAGCGCCGCCAAGACCTTCCCGCTCAAATCGGAAACACCAGGCCCTCGGGGTGTTTGGGCCCAGAGACCTCTGCTCGAAGACTTGTTTTTTTCCCTCACACTCCCACCCCCTGCGTGGGATTCAGACGAAAATTCATGCAGAGGAATAAAACAAAATGCGAAGCGCTAAGCGAGTCGGCAGCGAAATCGGTCTCTGGGCTAAGCTAGAAGCTCCCTTGTTGCTCGGCCGCCCTCACCTGGACCTTGGCACGATCTGCCTCCCTCTCTACAGCCGGTCACAAGGGCAGAGTGCGTCCTAAACCTTAACGGAGCGTCTGCGCCACACACCCACCGCCGCGCGGCTTCGGAACCTTTGCTGGAACTCCCAGAGTGCGCTCCCCACCCTCCAGCCCCCCACCCCGCCCCGCGCCACTAAAGTGAGCGCGGGAGCGGGGTCACCGCAGCGAGTTCAGCTAAACATTGGCGGGCAGCTCCCGCACGCTCCAGCACAGCGCCCGGGTATGCGCCAGGGATACTGGCTGGCAGCACCTGCGCGCAGTTCCACGCACGCGTCGCCTCTCTCGCCCCCACAAACCTGGAGTGCCAAACCCAGAAGCGATGCACAGACCGTATCCAGCCAGGTGCTGGGATTTCTTTCCTCCTACGGTCGTGGGAGCTTCCTGCGCTGTCTCCCAGCACAAATGCTCCTCTGCAATCACCCAGGCCGCGCTGCTCAGTTCCCGGAGCCTTCCACAGCCCAATGCACTGAGTCCTGGAAGAGGCTGTCTGCTCCCGGGAGCCACGCTCTGGCTCTTCCAGGCCTAGGGACCCCCCTCTCGGTGAAAGGAGGACGGGATGAAGCGTGCACAGAGCTCTCTCCCTCCCTGCCTCCTTGGGTCCCTTCAGCTTCCCCAATACCTTATCTCCCCGCGCGCCCAGCTCCTTGGCCCGCTCACCTGCTAAGCGGAGCGCAGACATGCGCTGGAACTCCGGCTCCTGCAGCCACTTCCACATCCTCCGGAAGGTCTCCCGGCCGGATTTGAGTTTGCTCCAGGGTTTGGGGTTGCGCAGCAGGTCCGAGAGGGTCCCTTGGGAGCGACAGAGCACCCTCTGCGCGAAGATGGCCTGTGGTATGCTGTAGCGCTTAAGCTCGGTGGTGATACGCTGCGCCACCTCTTTGGTATTGATCTCTTCCATCTGCCCTGAATTACTTCCATTGCTGACCTGCGCACCGGTTACCGAAGGGTTGGGCTCCCGGGCCGTGCCCAGGAGTTGCCCGTGGCCCTGGGCGTTCAGGTGGGCATGTGGGTGGTGTGGAGGAAGGCCGTTGATGGGAACCATGCCGGCCGAGGTGGGCGTGAGGTGCTGCTCCCCGTGACGGCCGAGCATGGCCGGGTGGTGGGCTTCGAAGCCATTGGGGGTGAGCATCTTGTCGGTGGGCATGGCGGCGCCCGGGTGGGCATAGTGGGGGAGCCCTTGCTGGGAGTTGTGGATGCCGCCCAGACCGGAGCCGGAGAGGGGAGAGAGGCTCTGGCCCATGCCGGCCACGTCCTTGTGATAGGGGGTATAGAGGTTATTCATGGAGGCCAGCCCGCGCTCGTCCCGCATGAGCGTGAAGCTACCGCTCACGTTGCCTGCCAGGCGCTGGTGGTGGTGCGGGTGGTGGTGGTGGTGGTGGTGGTGGTGATGGTGGGGGAACTTGTCCGAGACGGTGGAGATGGGCGGCAGCGGCTGCAGAGGGGTTAAGGTGGTGTAGGTGGTGGGCATGCTCATACCTGGGGGAGTCTCGCAGGCCATGGTCATGGTGGGGTGCAGGGGGCCGGCCAGGCTGTGCTCGGGGGCCCGGTGGTGGTGGTGGTAATCGCCGCTGCCGCTGCCGCCGTCCAGCAAGGACGCCATGCCCATCGAGCGCGGGTGCGCGGGGGGCAGGTGGCTGCCGCGGTGCGCCACGGAGCTTCGCGCGTGGGGGCTACCGCCCAGCAAGTCAGCAGGGGCAGGCACCGGCTCATGGCTCACCCCGTGCAGCTCCCCGATCGCCTCCATGGTCAGCTGCGCGTTCATCGTGATCTGGGCGAGCGGGCGGCGGACACAACATCGATGAGGCCGGGCAGAGGCGGCGAAGGGCGCACGCAGTCCGGTCTTCACATCGGCTGCTGGCGACTGCTGCCTTCCTTCCTTCCTTCCTCTCACTGTGGGGCTCTGTCTCCCTCTCAGTGTGTCTCGCCTTCCCTCTTGCCCCCACCTTCCCCTCTGCGTCCTCGGCTTTTTTTTTTTTTTAAATATTAATTTCCAGAAAGGATCCGCGCCGTTGGGCGAGCGCGGTGCCCCCAGCCCGCCCGCCCCCGGCCCCCTCACGTCCCTCTCCTTCCTAGAATTGTGAGGCCCCCGGCTCGCCTGACGCACCCCTTGCGCCTTCCGCGGCTGCTGCCTGCCCCCGCCGCTGGCCAGCTCCAGCCATGGCTCGGTTACTGTTGCAGACTCTGTGGCCGCTGTTCCGCCGCCGCCGCCGCGGCCCGCCCTCACGCCCGCCGGGCGCAGCGCGCAGGCGCGCGGATCAGCCCCGCCCCCTCAGTCCCCGCGCGCGCGGCCGGTGACGTCCCCGTACAAATGAAGGTGGGGGTCCCAGCGCCGCTCGTAAGGCGCTGGGCTGCGGGGGAGCGGTGCGCACGTGCGAGTGTCTAACGTAGAGCGCGATCTGGGGCTGCTACCGCAACCCTGGGAAACTTGGGCCCCTCTCGGCTCCCTGGCTCGGGTGGGCTCCCTTCCCAGCCCTCGGCCACACTTGCTGGGCTCGCCTGCCGGGTGGCGCAGTATGCCTAGAGAGCCATCGCCCCTCTCTCCAGTTGCTGCCTCCCGGTGCAGGTTTCCCGGGGAGCCTCAGCTGGTGTCATCACTCCTTCCACCCTGGCTTGTTTCCCGGGAGGGCCTCTGGGAGTCCACGCTCTCCCCATCTTCAGGTGCTTGGCCTTTCGAGGGGGAGGGGAACAAATATTTCAAAGGCCTTGGTCAACCTGGTGGCTGTTGACCCGACAACCTCTGTCCTCCCTGATAATTCTCTGCCCACCCTGACTCTTCCATGCTCTGCGAAGAGGTGAGCTTAGTGCCAAGAGTCCCAGCCCCGGCCATACCTCGCTGTCCTCCTCCGCCTGGGTCCTTCTCCGGTTCAGCTGATAATTAAGGCGGCGCGCCGCTTCGTGAATGACTCGGCGTGTGTGTGTGTGTGTGTGTGTGTGTGTGTGTGTGTGTGTGTTGAGTGCCCTGGTGGGTTCCTATGTTAACTCGTCGGTTCTGGTGGGGCCGCCGAGGCTCGGGCTGTTCCTGCGGTTTCTTCATGGCCCTCTTGGTAAAACACCAAGAGGCCGCTGCTTGCGGGAAGGACTGACGCCGGCAGGGTGGACCAGGCGCGCCGGTCTCTTCTTGGCCCGTAGGGACGCCCTCTTCCCGGCGTCCCTGCGAGAAGCCTCCAGATTTGAAAATCAATTCAGCTTCGGGCGTAATTGTTCGCTTCCCACAATCACGGTCCAATCCGGAATCGAACCTGGTCCTTGGGCCTGGTGGGGACACGTGGGGAGGCCCCCAGAGTGGGACGTATACCCGGCCGCCACATGCCGCGGCTTTCTTTCATTTACAAAAGAAAGGGAAAAAAAACCGTAACAAAAGGCAGAGCGTGTCTGCTTAGGTGCTTTCATCCCTCAGAGAAAGGACAGATGTGCCCATTGTCCAGCCCTTGGCAGTTATGACCCGGTCAGCCCGAGCCTCAGCCCCGGGCGAGTGGTGGTCACAATGGGGGACGGCTTCTCAGAACCTGGGTATATGGGTTCGGATATGGAACAAAGTGAGTGTGGCCAAACTCAGATTGTATGTTCCTTTCCTGGGGCACCGGGTCGGAGCCCACCACCGGTGTCTCTGCTGGGAATGTTCCCGACTCTAGGAGAGGTCAGGGTGGTGGAATGGTAGTAGTAGTGGTGGCTGAGTCCCTTAGGCAAAAGCTTGGGCCAGTCTATCCTTGGGGGAAACTTCTCACCAGCTAAGGCATGAGCAGGCCAGTCTCTGCCCAGGTCCCTACCACCGCCTGGGCAACATCAAGATCAAAGTAGGTCAAGGCCAGTGGGTTACTCTACCTGCCTTCCTTGAAAGTGGTCATGTCCTGAGATCGGTTAACCTGGTTGGTTTCATCACCACGGACATTCCTGTTTTGTCCAAACAATCCTATGGAGGTCCTGGAGATGGGGGTCCATCTCAGTGGACTTAGCATCAGCTTGCACAATGAATATTTAGGAATTTAAAACCTCCAGAGAGTAGAAGGTCTTTGGGAAAAATACAGTGACAAAAAGGAACTCAGAAAACAAAATTACTCTATTTAAAGTTACTCTTGTATCTACATCTCTCTAGTCATACATACATATACGCAAACTTAAAACGTATTTTCTGCCTAGTGGATCACAATATGTTGGTGGGAAGCTGAATTCTTGGCTCCTTATTGTTTCTGTTCTCATTTCTTACAACATAGAGCATGTAGCTCTTATATGAGACCAAACAACGGGTTAACGTAGAAGGCAGAATTTGAGCTAAACCGTTTGCCCCCCCATATTTTAATCCCCCTGAAGTGATCGATTTGCCCTTATGACAACTCTCTTTCCCAAAGGCAGTTTGTTAAAAGAAAGAAGTAAATACCACCAAATGCACAAATTGTTCATGGTTTTCTATTTGTGTAACTAATTAGGGACTTGATCCTGGAAACGCTCCTTCATGTGAGGCTCTCGACTGAGCCCCTGGAGTCTACCTGAAGAGGGCTGGGATCAGGTGAGCTTAACTCCCTCTGCCCCCCCGGCCCCACCCCACCCCCCATGAAAAGGGGGCCTGGTTCAGTGCTGGTCCCTAAAGGAGTAGCCAAAGTAAAAATCTGGATAAGTATTGTATATGGTGGACTAATGTGAGTGCAGGACTTGCTTGGGGAGTTTGCAAATCTCCCTAATCTTTCTTGGCTGTTCATTCCTTTCATTTAACCTTTGTTTTCTTGTAGTTGACTGAATTGCAGTAATTTCTCAGAAACATTTTATTCTTATTCAATGTCTTGGAAAACTTTCCTATACTAAGAATGTATGATGGGTGGGATGGATGCTCTTAGGCCTAGTTAGGGTGAATGCACATGTATGCGTGTGTGTGTGTGTGTGTGTGTGTGGCGGGGTGGGGGGGAAGGACAGGAGGGCTAGGATAGCTTTTTGTCATTTTGTCCCTCTCTCCCCTTCCCTCTTCCACTGCCCAGCATAACATCAGGTGCACTATGGAGGATTAAAGAGGCCAGGGAGGGGTCTCTTGAAATTACTCAGTGGGTCTAGTGTATGTGATTACAGGATACTGTACAGTTCTTTATCACAGCCAAGAAGCCTGAAGGGAGGGCTCATTGTCAGCTGGTTAGATTTTGAGTAGCTGCAGGGAACTTAAAGAAAAAAATAATGTCAGTCACCACCCCATTTCATACATGTATATATTTAAGAAAAAGGGAAATAAGACTATGGGCTGGATGCTTGTGGCTGGCAATGTTTTCAGTGTGGAAACAAGTATTTTAGACTACTTATTTTGTAGATGTTGGGGTGCTGCTGGTGGTGGTGAGACAGGTGCAATCCTTCCTATGCTGGGTGGGCTAGAGCTTGCCAGGTGACCCCACTAGGCTTAGAAAAGAGAATGAGAATAAGGTCTTTCCTCCAAATGCTGGCCACACAACGTTCTTTGAGAACCTTCCGTGAGTTTCAGAGTTACTGCTTTAGTGCTTTTTGTGAGTAACAGAGATGTAACATATGGCCCAGTCCCAGTTTTCAGGACCATTCCAAAAAACTGTTTCTAGCCCCTCTGAGCCATCAAATGCTAACTTCCCATTTGTTGACCGCACAAACAGCAAACCTGGGTGTCAGGGAAGATTCCCTCACCCAGGGCTCCACGGAGAGTCTGACACCTTGGCCAGGGCCTCAGAATGTAACTCACCAGCATTTCTTTCTTTTTTTTTTTTTAAGGCTCTCTCTTTTTAAAAAAATTAATTAATTAATTAATTTTTGGCTGCATTGGGTCTTTGTTGCTGCACACGGACATTCTCTAGTTGCAGAGAGCGGGGGCTACTCTTCGTTGCTGTGCGCAGGCTTCTCATTGCAGTAGCTTCTCTTCTTGCGGAGCAGGGGCTCTAGGCGCATGGGCTTCAGTAGTTGTGGTACGTGGGCTCAGTAGTTGTGGCTCGCAGGCTTCAGAGTACAGGCTCAGTAGCTGTGTTGCACGGGCTTAGTTGCTCCGCGGCATGTGGGATCTTCCTGGACCAGGGCTCAAACCCGTGTCCCCTGCATTGGTAGGCGGATTCTTAACCACTGCGCCACCAGGGAAGTCCGCTCACCAGCATTTCTGATGCCTGTAGCAAGTCTAGAATTAAACCCTCGGTGAGGAACCATTTTTTTGGTGTCTGGCACAGTAGGGCACTTGATAACTGTGGGTGAAGGATTTGGTCCTGGGTGCTTCTGGCCAGGTTCTCCTGTCTTCTTCCCACCTCTGCAGATTTTTGTTTTTCCCCCAGAAAATTGCTATTGGCTTACAATGGAACGCCAAAAAATTCAGAAGAGGGTGGCCTGATGATTCATTATTGACAACAGTTAAAAAAAGTTAGTCAATGGCTTCTCTCCACTTTATGGGGGCCGAAGGAAGCGGTAATCAATTATTCTAGCCCTCTTCATCAACCTTTGACCTTCATATACTTTTTATTCATCTGTTCGGTTTCCTTTGTTCCTTTTTAATGTAAATTACGGTTTTTGCTCATAACAATGTATTTTTTTATTCTGTGTTTTGCACTCTCCTTTGTTCCATCTCCTAACCGCACCCTCCACATCCCAGAGAAGACGCTCTGGTGAAGAGCTCTTTGACAGCTGGTGCCAACCCCAGAGGACTCCAGGTTATAGGAGGTGCACAGGGCGGTCGGGGCAGCGCTTCTAGGACCTCAGACCCCTCTGGGAGCATCTCCGGTTACTTCCATCCGATAAGCTAGAGGCGGCTTCTCTTGGACTTAGATTCGTTCCAACGGTTGCCCACTTCGGCGAGGGCTTTTCAAGGTCTCCAGCTGAGAGCGCTGAAGGGATAAGGGGTGTCCTGATGCCTTGGGGCTTCGGGTGGGGTCCAAGGCTCCCAGGTGGGACATGCTGGCTTCAGGACCCCGCTGCGGACGCAGCCAGCTAGATGCCGGGGCAGGTGACCTTCTCTGGCCAACCCTTCAGTGGATTTTCTTTCTTGGTCTTATCTTTGTACTGTTGAAGTATTTTACAAAGGAGACCTATCCGGACTGCGGGATGGGGTAGGGGCAAAGAATTTACCAGATTTGGGGAGGTGGTTAATGCTCTTCCAGTGCCTCCCTTCTGGGGCTCTACTCTGGGTTAGCCGTGCGCCGCCGAGGTAGAGAATGCCAGGGCTGGAGGCTGGGGAGGCCAGAGGCAAGGGAGAGGGGGGCCCTTTCTCTGGAGCAGATCAAAGCGACCCAAAGTGTGG